TCCGCTACCAACTGTGGCAGCAGGAGAGGGGACATAATGTTTTGCCTTGAGCCACATGTGGCACGGACGTACACAAGATGGATCTGTATCCATCAGTCCCCAGGGTGAAACACCAAAAGCTAAACCTATACGTGAGATAATGGACCCCCGGAACACCCGTCCTAAGTATGGATGTTCACTGTAACCCTGCAGGTCAGGTTCCTCAAACGCTGGTGAAGGATGCCTGCAGCCAGGTGAACCCCAGCGGGGGTGCGAATTGTGGCGCTGCCCGGCTCTGTTCGGGCGCCATGACTTCACTGCCGACTCCCACGATGCTGCTGTCCCGCCTGCTGGGCGGTAGTATTTAGACAGCGCGTCGCGGGAGCCAGCAGTTTCCAGACAGCTCTGGCCATTTTGGCTCAAGTCGTTCCCCGTATTGTGCAATACATCCTGCCCACACTCTACTCACATCTATTCTTACTTCCTCCTGCTTCCTCCTGTGCACACATCGGGGATCCATCATGGCAACTCGTACGCCTAGCACGCCCGGGAAGGCCGTTCTGCGGCCACGATCTGATGGTTCTGCAGGTGGCAGCTCTGTGCGACCGACTGGTGGAGGACCGAAGCGACCTGATCATCCCGAGACTTACGCCCTGGCCACACCGCCGGCGAAGAGCGCACTGAAGCAGCCGTGCCTTGGCAGCCCGAGTGCCGCTCTGGCCGACGTCGCTGCCCAACAAGCCGCTCTTCAACAGGGTCGGGAGGAGGCTGCGTCGGCGCCCCATTCAAACACATTCCGGTCGGAATTGGACGGCCTACCGAAGGAAGAGGACATCGAGAACCCAAATGCGCCAGTGACAGCGGCAACCATGCACAAGATCTTCCACCAATACATGCGTCCTGACATGAGGGCCAATAAGTCCATGAGCACAGACCTTCACGCCTTCAAGACGACGATGGAAGCGGAGATGGAGGAGATCAATATTAGGACTACCAACCTTGAGGATGACATCGAAACAACGTGGGAAGAGTTCATCGCCAACATCCATGACGAACTACGGCAAGAAATTACAGAATTCCGGAAGCCCCTCAACAAATTCAAACAAGCACGACACCGCGTTCAACGACATCCACATCACGTGCAACGGGCACTGCGACCGTAGTGCTTGGAGGTCTCCCTCATGCGTCCTTAGGGAAGGCAGAGACGTGGATCAACAAGGCACTCGAAGGTGAACACCTACCTCCTAACAAAATCTATAAAAAGGGAGCCCCGGACGAGGACTTCAAGGATTTAATTTTCGTCGAATTTGATAACCCAGGAGCAGCGCAACAAGCACAATCTCACCTTCAAGAGCTTTTGTCGAAGTCGATGAAGCCCAGGATGGGTAGCAGCAGAGTGTGGTGCAATCTAGATCCCACGATCGAGGTGCGGGTTGTCGCCTCGCTCCTCTTGGGCCTACGTCACGTGCTCACGCAGCCGCAGTGGGGGTTCGGAAAGCGGTACCTCGAGGGGGACACTGAGGCGGGCATCATCAAAGCCGGCGGCAAGCCCATCATGCGTGCGAAAGTGGAGGCGGACACTCTGAAGATCAATTGGTTGGACCCCGATTGGGAAAACTGGGCAGAGGTGGTGCAGAAAGCCAGGGAGCGCCTCTCGCAGAGCAGGGCTCATGTGAGCAAAGGAGCTGGTAAAGGCAAGTGACGGTGCCAGGGGCGTAGGGCCTGAGTTTTACCAGTCGGGGACACTTCCCCCGAAACACTTCGATCGATTAGTCGTCGACAGGGCGGGAAGGGCAAAGATACCACCGGTCCAAAGGCGGGCTTGGGAGGAAAGGACAAAGATAGCTTGCACCCAACAGGACAGCCTACAGATGTGGTGGGCGAATTGCACAATGCATTATCAGTTCATCCAGTCGTGGGCGGAATGGGCAAAGATACCAGCCACCTAGACACAATTACTGAAAGCAACCTACATTGCGCTACACGGAAAGTTCGTGGGCTGACGGATGTGAAACTGGCGGAGCTCATAAAACATATGGAAACTTAAGGCATCCACGTCGTGTGCATACAGGAGACCAAGCAAACTAAAGCAGAAGAGTACGAGTACGAGCACACCGGGTACTGCATAATATTATCTGGGGCTGACACAGATGAACGATCATGGGCTGGAGTTGGATCCATTATTTCTCCTATTTTAGCGCCGAGCTTAAAGTCGCACAAGCAAATCTCCGACCGTATTTGTCAACTGAAGCTCAGAATTGGCCGAAATTGCTTTGGTATGTTTTGTGTTTACGCTCCACACAATCTCCGGCCCTTGTCAGAGAGGAGACAATTTTACGCAGAGTTGGACGCACATTTCCGAGCATGTTCGGCTCACGCTGGGAAGGTAGCTATAGGAGATTTCAATGCGAGAGTTGGGCATGCAACCGCTGGAGAACAAGACGTCGTCGGAGAGCACGCTTGGGGAAGACGAGCCGTGCACGAAGTAGACACTCCGAACCAGAGTCTTTTGGTAGAGTTCTGCATCGGGATAAACCTACTTCTAGCGAACACCTTCGCTGACCTGTCTGTGAACCAGGAGATCACCTTTATGGAGGCTGGCGCGGCAGCGATGGGAGACATTATGGAGGAGAGTTACAACATATTGGATCTTCTAGTCTGCGATGCTGCTACACTTACCCGCGTGCGAGGGCCGACCAGCCACCAGGAGGCCGCTTTAGCATCTGACCACTACTTGGCGACGGGTGTCCTGGAGCCCTTCGAGCACCGCGAGCCCCCTACAATAGCACAGCAGAAAGACAAAACAGTGCTCCGAGATCTTGAGACGCAACGGCTTTACAGTGAACCTTTTCTTGAGCTCGTTCGTGAACCACTTGATGGGGATCAGGAGGGAGTAGAGGAGCTGTGGGAGGAAGGGGCAGCAGCAGCAGCGGCCGCTACGACGGTGCTGCCGCCGCGAACGCTGGAAACCACTAAACCATGAACTACCCAGCGCACGTTGGATCTGTTCCAGCAACGGAGCGCTGCCCGAAACGCGAGCGACAAACCAGCGGAGAAGGGCTTGATGAAGGAGGTTCGGAAGGCATGCAAACAGGACGAAGCAGCATGGCTGAATACTGCCATTATCTCCGGAAGCTGGGAGGTGATACGGAAGCATTGCTGCCCGAAGCGTCACAGGCAGGGCAGGCTGCGGGACTTGGAGGGGAATCTGGTGGAGAGCAATCAATGGGCGGACGCGATGGCAGATTTCTTAGAAAAATGGCAAATCGCGAGTGCGGCCGGCGACCTTGACAAATGAAGGCCCACTGGGACCCCCGCTCCCTGTGGAAGGACTTGCCTTTAGCCTTTACATCTCAAGAGGTTGGAAGAGCAATCAACAAAAAGGAAATGGGACAGGGCTGCGGGGCCAGACAACATCCCCGCGGAATACTGGAAATCAGTGGCGCGGACACCCGGAGGCATTAAGTGGCTAACAAACTTATGCAGTACATGTTGGGAGACCAGTGCAGTACCAGAAGAATGGAAGCAGGCAAAGGTGCGAGCAATCTACAAAAACAAGGGCGCCATCGACAGCTGCGACAAGTACCGGCCGATAAGCCTCCTCTGCGCCGCCTACAAGCTGCTGGCGAGCCTCTTGCTTAAGTGACTACAGGACGCTGGAGTTGAGGACAGGCTAACATCAACGCAATGTGGTTTCCGCAGAGGGAGAGGGGCGTCAGACGGCATTCATGCGGTACGCAGGAACATCGAGGTGGACCGTGCAACACAAGACGGTACAGTTGCTTTCGTTGCGCTTGATTGGAAGAAAACATTTGGTTCAATCAATGTGGACGCAATGCTACTCGCAGTACGGAGATTTGGGGTTCCGGATAGAATGCTTGCGCTCATCACTAACATTTACTCCGACCGGCATTTCCACGTAGCTGACGGTCTTTCGACTTCCCGACAGCGGCGACAACGATCCGGGATCTCACAAGGATGTCCTCTATCACCTTTCTTGTTCATCATGGTGATGACGGTGGTGCTAAGCGATGCAGTGGAAAGCCTGGGGCCGGGAGCAACATCAGAGATGGATGTGGGATAGATGTCGGTGTTGCTGTACGCAGACCACACTCTGCTGATTGGGCGCTCGCAAGATTGCAATAATTACTCGATGCAGTATCCCTGGCTGGAGGTCGTGCTGGGATGACCTTACACTGGGACAAATTCCACTTGATGCAGATTGGTTGTGAAGTCAATTCGACAACTCTGGAGGGCAAGTTGATCCCGGCGAAAGACACTTTGGGCTACCTTGGCGCAACACTGTACAAAACAGGCAGCGTCAGCAACGAAGAGAACAGAAGATTGGGAGCTGCATGGAAAGAAATGTGCAAGGATTCCTTAGCATGGAAGTACACACCCATTCATGCAGAACGGAAAATTTAAGTATCCCAGTCCTTCATCACATCTATAATCATGTACTCCCTTAGCACGGCCTGGTTGAACAAGGCGGAACGCAGGCGATTGAATGGTTTCAAAGCCAGGTCTCCGAAGAGTATTGAATATTCTAGCGGCGTTCGTGTCTCGCATCTCGAACAAGATCGTTCTCAGCAGGTCTGGTCAATTACCCTACACGCAGCAATTACTGAGGCATCAACTTCTTTGGTTTGGGAAAGTTGGACGAGCCTCCAACGACGACTTCATCAGAAAGCTCACGTTCCAAAATGACAGCGTCCTCTCCGCCACGTCCTTGCTCAAGCGGAGGAGGGGGAAGCCGAATGACGAATGGGCCAAGTGTTTGCGCGAGATCGTATCTGCATCCTTCACCACAGAAGCAAATCTCATAGAACACATACCCGACCCTCAGGAATGGGAAATGTTCGTTCTGAAGCTTACTCGCAGCCAAGAAGAGGCTCTAGACGAAGAGTCTAATGAACCGCATGTTTTTGCTCGGCCCGAGCGCCCTGGCCGGAGGGCACCGCACTGCGAATGCAATGCATGTGTTAATTGTTCTCTCTCTCTCTCTCTTGCTCCTCCTCCTCCTCCTCATCCTCCTATTGTCCTGCTTAGCAGGAATTCAAACTTTTCCCGCCTACGCGCAAGACGGCGTGTGGCTCCGTGCTCGTGCTCTGGAAAGGAAGGCAAGGCTTCGAGAGCCAGCATCCTCGAGACAAACTCCAGAGCCAGCAACTTCGAGACGACTGCGGCCGCAGAACGAGCACTAAGGAACGATGTCGGCATAGGTGGCCGTCATCTTGCAACCAGAGGGCGCTGCAAATATGACGAACTGCGACCGCCAGGAAAATCGAAAGAGAGGCAAGGGGTGAGGCATGCAGAGTTGAGCCGTCGGCCAGATGATAGCCGTCAAGGTTCACGAGCAGTGACTGGTTGGGCGCACTGGCCATGCCGTGCCACAACACCACAACATGCCTCAGTGAGCTAGAAGGGAATCACATGTGAAGCCAGAGACGTGCAGTACTCCTCACCTGCATCTACACGCACGTCTTAGACCCTCTCACTAGTCTGTGCCTGAGCGGAGCACGCTACCGCCTCGCCTAAACGGCGTGCAGCGAGCCGTACTGGCGCGAAATTTGCCAGCCCGATCTCATCCGCCACCGTGCCCATGTGGCACGAAGTGGGGTGCCCTCAGGCTTTCCAGTGGAGGCCCGACCACAAGAAACCCTCCACAGAAAGCCCAACCCTGACCCCTCGGGACGTCCCTGGATTTTTTGGCCTGGGAACGTCGCGCTCTCCAACGCACCACCATCGAAGCCCAAGCGACCCAGGGCAACATGGAGGCAAGCAGGGCGTCCTCTTGGCATGGGCCCCCAATCAAAAACCCTAATAAGGACGCGCGGTAAGGACGCAAGACCCTTGGAAGCCGAAGTCGGGATTTCTGGGGCGGCGGACGACGAAAACCTCAAGGACGCAAGAGCAAGGAAGAGCAAGGACGCAAGGGTAACCTGAGCAAAGTCGCGCGTCCGTATTAGGATTTTTGACTGTATCCCCCTGAACATCAGCCGTCCATCCTGCGGGCATCTTCGGCGGCCCAGACATCCCTGGCGCTCGCACAGGCCGTGGGTCTTCCCACGTGCCTCCCGCGGCTCCTGACAGCGTCCCGCGCGACTTCTCTCCGGAGCCGGGAGGGCCCCCAGGCGGGTCAAGACGCAACGCGCCCAAGAGGGTTCCAAACGCGCCCAAAACGTCCCGAGACGCAACGCGCCCAAGACGTGCCAAGAGGGTTCCAAACGCGCCCAAGACGTCCCAAGAGGTCTCCAAGAGCCTGAGAGGCCCAACGCCTCCCCCACATATCCTAAGGATGGGGCTCCTGTCGTTCCCCATGTCCTGAGGATGGGGCTCCTGTGATTTCCCAGATCGAAAGGATGGGGTTCTTATTAATGATGGTTCTCTTGTTTTCCCTATATCCAAAGGATGGAGTTCTTGTTATTACGCAGACCGCGGCCGACTCCTTCCTCACTCACCTCCCTCCTCCTCCTCCTCCTCTTCCTCACCCATAGTCACACTTAGGGCCACTACTTAGTTTATGACATGATAAGAAGCCTCTGGAGGCCACAGGAAGCGCCAGGAGGCTCCAGGCCGCGGAAGCCCCAGGAGACGCCCCAAGATACCCCAGGAGCAGGAGGCCTCAGAAGGCAACAGGAGTGCCTCCAATCCTTGTTTTTTTACATATGTTCCTGTAGATTGGGCCTCCCCTGGAGCACGAATACTGTGTTTTACGTATGTTTCTATAGTTTGTCCTTCTCCTGTGTATCGAAGCGCCTGGGTGTTTACGCATGTTCCTAGAGATTGAGCCTCCGCTGGGGCACGAATCCTTTGTGTTTACGTCTGTTCCTATATGTAGATTGCCCCCCTCCTGTGGCTCAAATCCTAAGTGTTTTACGAATGTTCCTATACATTGGGCCTCGCTTTGGGAATTCACCTGGGAGGCCCCAGGAGGCCCCAGGAGGCTCCAGGAGTCCCCAGGAGGCAACACGAGGCCCCAGGATGCATCAGGAGGCCACAGGAAGCCCCAAGAGGCGCCAGGAGGCCCCAAGAGGCTCCAGGAGGCCCCAGTAAGCCCCAGGAAGTTTCAGGAGGCTCTAGGAGGCCCCAGGCTCATGCGAAGAGACATAATCGTACTACTGAGACTCATTCACACTCAAACTCATTCACAGTTAGATTCACTCCCAGACCGTCCATACTCAAGCTTGCTTAGATTCGAAAACTCTTGTGCCTCGACGCTCACGGCGGACAGGTCCATGCTAATAAGTGCACAGATGGGGAGCTCCACGCAATGAATGATCATTGATGATAGCAAAAATGCTCATGCTACTGCTGCTGATGATGATGCTGATCACGATGATGATAATGATGCTGATGATGATGCTGATGATGATGATGATAACGATGATGATGCTAATGATAATGATGATGCTGATGATGCTGATGATGATGTTGCTGCTGGTGTTGATGATGATGATGATGATGATGATGATGATGATGATGGCTATGGTGATGGTGATGTTTGTGTTGATGCTGATGCTGATGCTGATGCTGATGCTGATGCTGATGATGATAACGATAATGATGATGATGATGATGATGATGATGATGATGATGATGATGATGATGATGATGATGATGGTGATGACGGAACTGATGACTGCTCAGAATCACTCACGCACACAGACTGTGAGGATGTCTGAGGCGAGGCGCTGGTTTCAGCACTCTCAAGGGGGGGACGTCAGGGGGGTATTACACGGGCCCGTTCGCGCACACATTGCGGGGATGTCTCAGGCGGTGTGCCTGTTTGGTTGCCCAACATATTTCGCGCTTGGGGTAAACTTAGAGGATGTCTCAGGCGAGGCGCTGGTTACAGCGCTCCAGTACATGGACATTATATTCGAACCCTGTGGCCCAAGATGCCCCCCGGACCCCCCGAAATTAATATTGATGGCGTGGCGACGGGGGGGCGTGAGTGGACAGAAATATTCGAACCCCAAAGCACCGCCTGTACTGAGATCAACATTGATGTCGGGCGCGCGGGGGTGATTTAGAATCTCCCTCGAATGTGTGAGGGTTCGAATATATTGTCCATGTACGGTCCCCCATCTTATTTTGCAGGTGGGAGTAAGGAGGAGGGAGAGGAGGAGACCGTACAGATGCCACAAACGTCAGCATTACAATCATAATCGCCCTCATCGGCGGCATCATCTCCAACATCATCTTCATCATCATCATCATCATCATCATCATCATCATCAGCATCAGCATCAGCATCAGCATCATCATCATCATCCGCATCATCATCACCCACAACCCTCAAGGAGGAATGAGGAACAGGAGGGAGAATGGGGAGGAGAACGAGGAAAAGGAAGAGGAGGAAGATGGAGGTTGCGCTCCTGGGGCTAAGACGCTGGGGCAAGGTGTGAGACGTTTCAGGAGGAGTGCGGAGGGGTCTGAAGGATTGGGCGAATCCCAGAGGATTGGGCGGAATGCGGAGGGTTGAGGGGGAATGGGACGGTTGTGGGAGGTTTGGAAGGAGTGCGGAGGCGTGGGGAGGACTGGGAGGGTTGCGGAGGTTTCGGGGGGAGTGCGGAGGCGTGGGGAGGAATGAGGGTGGAGGAAATCTCTTTCAGGAGGAGTGCGGAAGGGGTGGGGAGGAATGGGACGGTTGCAGAAGGTTTGAAAGGAGTGCGGAGGGATGTGGAAGGATAAAAGGGTTGCGAAGGTGTCGGGAGGAGTGCGGAAGGGCGTGGAGGAATGATGGGGTTGCGGAGGTCTCTTTCGGAAGGTATGCGGAGGAGTGGAGAGAAATGGGACGGCTTCACAAGGTTTGGGAGGAGTGCGAGGGAATGTGGAGGCCTGGGAGGGTTGCGGAAGTTTCGGGAGGACTGCGGAGGGGTGTGGAGGAATGGGAGGTTTGCGGAGGTTTCGGGAGGAGTGCGGATGAGTGGGGAGACATGGAAGGGCTCCGGAGGTTTCGGGAGGAGTGCGGAGGGATGTGGAGGAATGGGAGGGTTGCGGAGGTTTCGGGAGGAGTGCGGAGGGGTCTGGAGGAGTGGGGGAGGTGCAGATGTTCGGAAGGAGTGCGGAGAGGTGTGGAATGATAAAAGGGTTGCGGAGGTTTCGGGAGGAGTGCGGAGGGATCTGGAGGAATGGGAAGGTTGCGGAGGTTTCGGAAGGAGTGCGGAGGGGTGTGGACGAATGGGAGAGTTGCGGATGTTCGGGAAGAGTGCGGAGGGGTGGAGAGAATGGCAGGATTGCGGAGATTTCGGGAAGAGTTCGGAGGGGTGTGGAGGACTGGGACGTTTGCGGAAGTTTTGGGAGGAGTGCGGAGGGTGGGGGGGAATGGGACGGATTGCGGATGGTCGGGAGGAATGCGGAGGGGCGGAGAGAATTGGAAGGGCTCCGGATGTTTCGGGAGGCGTGCGGAGGGGTCAAGTCAAGTAAGCCTTGCACCGGCGTGAGCAAAGTGAAACGTCAAACAGGCGTGGCGCCGGTACCACTAAGGTGACTCAGAGAAGGAAGAGGAGGAGGAGGAGGAAGAGGAGGAGGAGGAGGAGGAGAAGGAGGAGGAAGAGGAGGAGGAGGAGGAGGAGGAGGAGGAGGAGGAGGAGGAGGAGGAGGGGGAGGGGGAGAGCTAGCACCAAAAGGTGCACAAGCAGGAAGCACGCAAAATGGACAAGCGACCGGTCAGTCGCGCCATGCTTTCACCGCCGACTCCCACGCCGCTTCTTCACCGGCCTCCGGCTGGGAAATCAGCTAAGCGGCGGCGGGCGCCGGCTATTCTCAAACACTTATTCAGAACCATGTTGCCCCACATCTGTCGGGGGCGCCCTCGTTTGCGAGGCCCTGTCGGCAATCGCGGTTCAATGCCGCTGGGCTGTAGGACGGAGTATCGCACAGGGTCGTTGCAGGGTGGCCTCGCGAGCTGCCCTAAGAAAACCATTTGTCGCTTAGCAATGGCTTCGTTCAGCGGCCTTTCGGCGGCCATGTTCAGTACGGCGTTGTTGGACACGCGACTTATATACGAAGGGCGCACTGTGTAAATCCGTCGTAAACACCTGGCTTGAAATCCGTCCAGCCTCTTCGGCTCTGACTTGTTCAGGCAAGCGGCGAAAAGGCAGTAGCAACATTTGTTTTTTTGACCCCCCAAAAAACGATGCATGCGTTAAAAATATGCCCTTTTCGCTCCCGAGACAATATTGCGTGAGACCAGATTGCATGCAACACATTGAAATCCTGCTTTGCCGCGCCTAATCTCCGATTGAACTCAGAACCACTACGGCCGTCTGACGAAATGTGGGCCCCGAAATACAGCAACGCCTCCTTTTCTTTCACCGTGTCTCTAACGCTGTTCACCGCATGTGCATTCGAGCGGACTCTCATCATTTCCACGTTGTTCCAAGTCAAGCTTAGACCGTACTGCTCCCGCACTTTGTTCCGCTTCAAGCTCAGGAGTGCGGAGGGATGTGGGGGAATGGGGGGTTTGAGGAAGTGTTGGGAGGAATGCGGAGGAGTGTGGAGGATTGGGAGAGTTGCGGATGCTTGGGAAGAGTGCGGAAGGGTTGAGAAAATGGCAGGATTGCGGTGGTTCTGGGAAGAATGCGGAAGGTCGTTGAGGAATGGGACGGTTGCGGAAGGTTCGAGAAGAGTGCGGAGGGGTGGGGGGGAATGGGGCGGTTGCGGAAATTTCGGGCGGAGTGCAGAAGGGTGTGGAGGAGTTGGAGGGTTCTAGAGTTTTTGGAAAAGCGTGGAGGAATGAAAGGTTTCGGAATTTGTTGGGCGGAGTGCGGAGAGGTGCGGACGACTGCACGGGAGTGGCGAGGACCGGGAAGGAGTGTGGGGGCGTGCGGAGGAGTTGGGGAGGAATTGAATCGAATGGAACGCAACGGGGGGCCTCCGGCGTAGACCTCGCCCGAGAGGGCCTCCAGGGAGGCCTCGCGAAGATCCGCGGGGGCTCCAAAACGACCCCCAAAGAGGCTCCACGCGGACTAACGGACGGACCCAGAGGCGACAGCACTGACAGCGTCGACGATGATGGCCGTAGTCGTGCCGAGCCAGAATCACGACGTGCCCGTGGCGGCCGCGCAACGCTCGAGAGGTCTGCCGAAATTGTCTGGGCGCGGCATGCGGACTCAGCCATCGGGGCCTTCCGTGGAGTTCCCGATAGGGCAACGAGGTGTGGCAACGATGATAATGGCGACGGTGATGATGGCGATGATGGTGATGACGTCTGCGCGCAGCGACCCCAATCGCACGCGGCAAGATTACTCGGACTTGAACTTGAGAGCCTCGCTTGTGACGAGGGTCGAGAAACAGCGCGGGCGCGGCGCTTGCTTCGGGGCCAGCGGCTTGGGAATCGGCACGATGAAGAAGTACAGCTTCAGCCGCTGGAGCAGCGCGCCGGCCTGCCCCCGCGGGCGCTGCGACGACTCGGACGAGAGGCCCGCCAGCGCCGTCTCGGGGCAGGTGCCAAAAATTGGGGCGGACCCCATGCGCACCTTGTGCCCGACGCGCTGGTTCTGGGGCGCAGTGATGGGCACCGGCTTGCCCTCCAGCCGCAGGAGCTGGATGGACAGGGGGAGGCCCTCCTCGATGAACGCCCACTCGCCCAGCACCGCGGCCGTAGCCTTGTCCAAGCCGTGGATGCAAAACTGCCCCCCGCCCGGCCTCTCCTGCACGTGCTCGCCGCCGAACAGCGGCCGCGTCGCCGAGAAGAGAAGAGACCCCCCCTCTCCGCCGAAGCGCCCAGCCAAGGTGACCACCGGGGCCGCCTCGGACCGACCGTGCTTCAGGGACATCAAGATGCAGCTGCATATGTCGGGGACGTCGATGCAATTCATCGACAGGCTCTCGCGGACGCGGTGCAACCAGCGGCCGTCGCAAACGCAAGGTGTCCGCAGGGCCTCCTTGAACGGTTGCATGACGGGTTTCGTCGCGTCTTCGAGGAGACTGCCCACGCTCTCCCACGCCCAAGCCTTGTCGATGATCTTCTCCAGCACGCGCCCGCTCTTGGACATCCAGGCAATCGTCTTGCGCGAGCAAGACGTCTTCGCGCACGCCATCAACTTGCGCACTGCGCGGGTGTCGTCCAGAGAATTCCGGATCCCAGACCTGGCCACTCTCGGCCACAGGTCCACCTCCTCGACGCGAGGCTCTGGCTTGCCTCTCTCGCCCTCGACCTGCTCCCGCGCGGCCCTGCGCTTCTCCAAAGCGCGGGCGGTCGTCGGCCCCCTCTTCGCCGCGGTCAGCGGCCTGTGCTCCGCGGGCCAAGCCGAATAATCAACGTCCACGGCGCTCCGCGGCGTCTTGGGCGTCGCGTTCGCGCAGTGCCCGACGGCCGACCAGCGCCCGTCGTGGCTGCAGGGCCAGTGAGAGGCGAGTTGGCACATGTTGAGCGAGGCCCGCTTCACGGTCAGGAACTTGCTCTTCTTGCCCGGGCGCAAGGCCACGCGGTAGTGCGCCCGCCAGACGCCTGCCACTGGCGCGTCGTATTCTTTGAATACCACCAGCCCCCTGACCCCGACGGGCACGGCCCCCTGCCCGCGGCGGCTGGCGAGCCGCGCGGGGTCGGCGCCCGGGGCGCCGCAGCAGTCCAGGAAAGCGTCGCGAACCTCCTCCTGCGAGAAAGCCGCTGGCGCTTTGAGACCCCCCATGTTCGCGTGCACCAGAGTCACCAAGTAGACCACGCGCGAGGCGTTCCTGTTCTCCTCGCCGACGACCTGCTCGAGGAGCGCCGTCTGCTGGCTCTGCTTCCCCGCGAGCCTGCGGCTCTTCTCTGGCATGTCCACCGAGAGCGCCATCCCCAGGCGCGACCCGGCCAGGGTCAGCCCCCGCCCCGCTGAGCCGACAGGCTTCAGAGAATACCGCAATGCGGATCGTCGGGGTCTTCGGGGCCATCGTAAATCACCGCCTGGCCGCTCAATTGGGGAGCTCGTTGCACCTGGCGTCATCTGCGCACCTGTCGCACTTGGGCGCGCCTCACTCACCTGGCGCACATGGCCCACCTGTCGCGCGCCGCGCACATGTCGCACGCGGCGCACTTGGCGCGCCTGGCCCACCCCCTGCACCTCTGGGCGGGGTCGGCGGACCCTGGCCATGGATGCCGCTCACGCGGCATTGTTGGACATGTGGAAACATGAATAAAATGATACCAGAGAAAAACCCCACTCAGAATTTGTTGGGGGCTATGGGGCTTTAGGGCTCTAGGGCTATGGGGCTATAGGGCGATGTGGCCATAGGGATATAGGGCTAGGAGCCTTTAGGGCTATGGGGCTATAGGGCTACAGGGCTGTAGGGCTATAGGGCTAAGGGCTATAAGGCTATTCGGGCATTCGGGCTATAAGGCTATATACGGCTATAAGGCTTTAGGACCATAGTGCCATAGGGCTATAGGGCGATAGGGCGATAGGACTATAGGGCTATAGGGCTATAGGGCTATGGGGCTATGGGGCTATTGGGCTATTGGGCTATAGGGCTATACGGGTATAGGGCTACAGGGTTATAGTGCTATAGGGATATAAGGCGATTGGGCTATTGGGCTATAGGGACATAGGGCTATTGGGCTAGGCACCCCCGGGCACTTCTGGGCACCCCGGGCACCCGGGCACCCCTGGGCACCCGGGCACCCGAGCACCCCTGGGCACCCCCGGGCACCCGGGCACCCGCCCCGGCCACCGAAATCGGCCACACACCTGGGCACCCGGGCACCCCCGGGCACCCAGGCACCCGGCCCCGGCCACCGAAATCGGCCGCTCACCTCACCTCAGCTTTATATCCGCTAGGACCCCATACAGAGGCAAGCTCTGATTGGGGAAATTGTTGGACATGTGGAAACATGAATTAAAAACACACACTGCACCTACAGTGAACCATCTGTGAACCAATGGTGAACCAACAGTGAACCATGGGAAATTACGCTGTGAACTTCGATTTCTTTTTTTGAACAAAAAAAGTTCTTGTTGAATCGAACTCGAGGCCCACGATGGTTTTTACGAAGGTGCACTGTTGGTTCGCCGTTGGTTCATGAGGTTTTTTTGCTGCATGTCTCGTGCGCGGGGCCCCAGGGTCGCCAGGGCGCTGGCGCCGAGGGGCCTCGGCGGACAGAATCAGAATGCGAAGGTAACTACTTTCGATTACGTCTGCTTGCCCTGTAGCCGCAGGGGCGGTAGACGCACGGATTGGTCTTGATCGTGGACCACGACTGGCCCCCTTCCCGCGCCGCACGTCGCTCGCGCGGGTCAACCGAGGCGCGGGCCGCTAGGGGCCGCCCGCCGCCCCGGCCCGCTGCGGTCTGCGCCGCGGTCGCCCGCCGCCCTGGCCCGCTGCGAATCGCGCCGCGGCCGCTCGAGGAAACCGCGCGCGCGCTCAGTCCCTGCCGCCCTCGGAGAAGCGGCCGCCCTTCGCCTCGACCAGCAAGCCGCAGCGCTTGTGCAGGCTGCCCGCGATGCTGCGGTTGCACTCAGAAGGCGTCGCCAACGCCGCGCGGCGCAGCCAGGCCAGGCACTGCGCCCGCGGCTCCGTCTTGCTCGCGGGCCAGTCCTTCCCCCGCCCCCCCATGCGCTTGTTCTCCTGTCTTATCCAATCCATCTCTTCCACAGAAAGAAGAATCAAGGGGACGGGCCGGAGGTCAGTCAGGGCGGACCTTTGATTTGATCTCGACCCCGCCCCCCCCCCCAACCCCCTCTTCGCCAGCAGGGCGGTCGTATAGATGTATGTACCTCTCTGTCTCTGTATGTTTTTCCCAACCCTCCTTGGTTGGGTATTCGTTTTGAATAGAGCAGTGTGGTCGCGTCTCCTCCCGCCTCCCTCCTGCCTCCTGCCTGCCTCCTCCTGTCTTGCCCGCGGGGGGCTGCGATCTGCGAAATTGTCGCCACTTTCGAGGCCTGCTGGGGGGCCCAGCATAGAGGGTAATCGCGGCAGATCCAAATTAGACCTCGCCATTCCTGGGGGGCTGCGATATGTGAAACTGTCGCCACTTCCGAGGCCTGCTGGGGGGCTCAGCATAGAGGGTAATCGCGGCAGATTCAAATTAGACCTCGCCATCCCTGGGGGGGGGGGGGGGGCTGCGATCTGTGAAACT